TTTGGACTTGTCATAGCAGGAAAAGCACAGGTGGAACTAATAACATTAACGATGGCTCCGTTTCATTTAGGGGGTCTCTGCCAGTTGGGCCAGCAGGCGCAATACCAGAGCTCTGGAACTGGTCCATCCAGACTGAATACAGCCAGTATTCATTTTAGTAGTAACATCTGTGTCAACATGTCCACTGTAAGAAAGGTCTGCTGTTTTTCTATAACTTTATTGGATTAGATGCTTTGAATCTATCACGTTTCCCCTTTCATTCAACGTTCAAGAGCCTTGTGATCAGTAGGTTCAGCAGAGCCTTAGCCAGCATTGTGCAAATACTGAGACCCCCCCCCCTTTTTGTTGCCCTAAAAGTAGTCAAATACAGTAAGTATAATACTATAAAATACTCTAATAAGCCTAAAAAAAACAATGTGTTAGAGTGGGTGAAAAGTAACAGTCAGTTCATATTTAACCACCAGGGTGCGCCGTCTCTCCAACCTTTCCATTAAAAGCTTTCCCGTTAAATCTGTGCAACCTTTTGGGCCATACATAATCAATAAGTGATAAGTAGAAAATGAAACATTTAAAACAAACAAAAACAAACTAAAGGACCTCTTTTAAATATTGTTTGTCTTTGTGGGCTGGTAGGAAATGTCTCGAACATCCTGTCGAAGCCCTTTATGAATAACCATTATGTCCTGCCTGACTCATGCATTTCAGTAGCTGCTTTAAAACAACGCCTGCTTTGGCTGGGATGCATCACATCTGTGCGTCACACGCCCAGGGTCACTGCAACACTGTAAACACACACAGATCAGTGCATCACATAAAGGACACACTTATTAAAAGATAAACGGTCTCTGCAGCTCTTCCCTATACATCCTCCCTGTCATATTCATGCCAACAAACATGCAGCAGCAACGTTATTTCCACAACAGATGGCAGGAGGCAGACGCTTGCTTCCTCCAACAGCAAATGGGCGGCTGGTTTGTTTATTTATTATCAGTTCTGTCCTGCGAGCATTAATCACCTGCATCGCTCTGCCTTCTGGCTCAGGTGCCACAGCAGCCCACAATGCGGCTGACATGCAGGCAAACAATGAAGCTTCTAATACAAGATTAGCTTGAGTAATAACAAGCTGGATATGAGATGATGGAGCTGAAATGGCAGCTTTGGAAGGGAAAAGGGGTCTAGAGCTTTGATCAGGCTCCAGATTTTGCTTAAGCACAAGTCTGGTGCTAAACTCAGCCTGAACTCGTGCTTAAGCAATGTTTTATGAGTTAACCTAATTAAAACCTACATTTTCTCATAAAAGTGGCACAGAACATCGTCCATAGTGTCCTCTGCTTTCCATATTAATAAATATGGCTGCATTTTCCAAATAAAGTGGCTCATGTACATTGCTTTCTCTAAGTTTTATCGAATAGCTTTTACACCACTCTCCTTGTCTGAACAGTCAATCTGAAAACAGCTGGTTAGCTTAGCTTCACACAGACTGCAAACATCTAATTCTCTGCTATAAAGTGAATATTTTCCAAAATGTAAAACTGTTTCAAATGTTGCTAATATTGCACAACCATTACAACATGGCTACAACTAAGCTGGACTTTTCTGTTTATTCTTGAATTTTATCACCGCATTTTCTTCAACTTTGTCAAAACTTGTCATTGCCAGAGCGTTCTTTGTGCTGATTTCAAAACTTTAAAAAGAAAAACATTTTCTGTCTGTCTGTCTTAACCTTTTATGCCAAAAGATGTCATAAACTCATAATTGCTGAGTAGAAAACATCAAGAAAACAGCAGGATGACAAAAGAAAAAGACTAAATAAACGGCACATCCAAGTGAGACATGTTAGGAGAATTGATTGCCTCATTCAATTCTAATTTGCACTATATGTGTACCCCCTGCTTTTTTATGCCCCTGTCTTTCACTGTAAGATTACATGTTTATTAGCTGGAGCAGCAGAGATGAACCCCCGGCTTGGAGGAGGACAAGTGAGTCCTTCAGATTCTCATAACTCACAAAGCAATACTGGCTTCCCCGCTTCAAAATATAATTAAATAAATAAATAAATAAAAACCCAGCAAAACTCTTGTTTTTATGTGGGAAATTTAAGGCCTTGAAAAATTCATGCTTCACTCTCAGTGCAGCAGCCAATATTGAACTGAAACAAACTTGCAATAACCTTGGATGCCTGTGTATTTCTGTCTGTGTGTCTCTATCTGTGTGTCTCCCTCTATGTGTGTGCACCGAGGAGAATCAGTAAGAATAAAGGTGATAATGTTGCTAATCAATGTTGCTCTCTGGCTTCCCTCCCAGCAGCGCTCTGGCTCTGGATTCCTGCTGCTGAGACGAACTCGCAAGTTCTTCCAGACTTAAGAGCTACAGCGGGATTACCACTCTACAATATATGCACTATAGTTTTATCTTTATTGTTTTTGCCTGAAAGGAGGCACTTAATGTAACAATTCCTGTATGAGTTTTATTTTGTGTGACAGAGGAATCTCAACTCAAAGGTCCACACACATGCTTTTTCAGAGCACACAACTGCTCTCCATAGCTGTGTCCCAAATCAATACCGCATACTAATTCTATACAGTATGAACGTGCAGTCATAGGATGGCGTTTTTAGCGATTAGTATGCCGAAATATCAACATACTTTACCATTTATACTAGGAAGGGATTGTGCACAGTGTGTCAAATGTCAATCAAACTGCAACCTTGAAATGTCGCTGTTGGTTAAACTTAATAGAAATCAAAATGTATCCCCCTTTGTGCATTGCATTATGGGACAATAGCCGTATTTAGTCTGCATTCTGTCTGTATGTATGCTAGCTAGTACGGGGACCTTTGAGTTGAGATCATTTTGTCACACATGCTGTTACCAGTGACACTAATTAAGGTCAAACAGAGTCAGGGTCCCACTGCATTTACCCGACTGTTTCATGTCCAAAATGGCTGCAGTGAAAAAGGTCTATTCAAACAGCCTGCCAGTGTGCATCCTCCCACCCTCAAAATGAGATGACGGATTTACCAAAACGAACAATGCGTTCAGGCTGTCCTCGACAGCTTGATTATTTGATGCGAGTGCAGACTAGTCCTTCAGCATAACCTTGTATTTGAAAAAAGTTCATTTTTAAAAGCTTCATGTCAATAAATCTTTTTTTTTTTAACTGTGGAATCCTTTTGAGTTTGTTTTTATGTATTTAGTGCTTCAAATGATTTTATTTACTACATGCAACAGGTAACACCTTTGAAAATATTTCTGCACATCATGGAGAACTGAAATATTGACTAAATAAATTACAACCGACCCACAGAGACCTGGTTTCTTCTTAATTTACTCTCACCAAAATCAGGACTGACACACTGATTACTCACATTATTTTGAGTTTATCGACTTTTTCCTCTTAAATTTGCACCAGATACTCCACTTTTTTATTCATACAAACTCTGACTCTCTCCTGTAATTGATCCTTAATGCACAAAGATGGAAACAGTTTTTGGCAGGCATTTTGACTAGTGACAGCTGTTACTAACTAACATTAATGATGGCTCTGTTCTGTTCAAGTGTCTCAGTCAGCCATGACAGTTAGCCAGAGGCAGCTAAATGGAATACAGCCATTCATTTTATTATTGACGTCTATGTTTCTATTATGACATATCGTAAAATCTTTTGTGAAAAAGGACAATAAAGTAAAAGAAAAAAAAAACATTTAAAGACCTTTTTTTACCTTTAATAGAATCTTAAGAGTCTTTTATCTTCTTGTGAGGGGAATTAAATGAAAAAAAGAAATAGGATCAAACAAGCAAACACTTGCACAGCACACATGTTTTGTATTTGGGGAGCTGCTCCCACTGAGCCAACTGCTGAAGTGAGCATTTATATTGTCTGATGTGTAATGTCAGCGGGTATTTCCAGGCAGCAGATGGTGACAGTTTGCCTACTTAACAACACACTCAGACGCACACTCACGCACACACACACGCGTGGTCACACACCTCGACTATACAAACTTCCACCACACGGAAAGAAAACAAACAAATTCATACCCTTCCCATTCCTACGGCACTAAGAAAGCAGGTACTGTATGTCGCTTGCATGCATATACCTCACACACACACACACATGCAAATACAGTGACAAAAGCCCTGTATCGACCATGACATCAGTCCAGTTTCCTGCGGATGATAGAGGAACTGCGGATGACAGATTGATTGAAAGATCCTCCTCCCTCTCTCATCCATCATTTCAGACTGTTTATCATCTTCTTGCTGTTCAATCCATCTGCTGGAAAGAGAGAGAAAACCATTTAGGCCAGCCCTGACCATCAAGTCACCCAGAGGAGTTTTAGACAACACAGCTGGGGCTCTGGCATACCCTTACATAGAGCAGGAGGCCCACCATTTCTTTGGCTTCGATTGATAAAAAAATTTGTTGACCTTGTTTTTCCGAAATATCCAGGCAGCAGACCTCCTCGTCCTCCTCCTCCTCCTCCTCCTCCTCCTCCTCCTCCTGATGGTGACTGAATGTTATTGAGCTGCTCGATAATCTAA